GGCTGGTTCACCCGCCACTGCTGGCGCACCAGCCTGCGGGATGGGGAGATTCGGGGTGGGGAGGGCGGCCAGCCCAAGCACAGCCCCCCCAAATCGTCTCTGCACAAATCGGGGGAGGGAGGGAAGCGGGGTTTAGCCTTCGTGCTTGGGAGCTCCCCTGCCCCGCCAGCACAGCCAGCGACTGCGATTCAAGCCAAGGGGAAGAGCAGCAGCACCCGCCGGGGCGTGGGGACACGGGGGTGCCAGGCCATTGCCCCCCGGGCTCTCCCAGCATCCCTTTAATGCCTTTGAAAGCAGGGAGGATGCTGGTTTGCTCCACAGAGAGTGGAGCAAACAGGGACATCGAAGAAGAGGTCACTGAGAGCGGGGGGATCCTCCAGTGCCCCTCGCTTGGTGTTTATTTTCCTGGCTGCTGCTGCTTTTCCAAGAGGCAGCACTGGTCCTCCTCGGTCCTCCTTTATCCCCAAATTCCCTTCCTCGGCACTCATTCCCTCTCTCCCACTCATGCTGTTGTTTTATCATCCCTCTCCTTTCCTTTCTCCCTTCCATATTTCTCCCTTTTACCTCTCCCCTCCTTCTAGCTCACATGTTTTGTGGAAAACATCACCTCCTTCTATATTTTCCTTTGCTTTATTCTAGCAGGTTTTTGTCTCTGCAGCTTCAGGCCATTCTCCCTGTCTCCTCTCCTCGCACCGTACCCTTTCTGCTTCCCATCCCCTTCTTCTGATCATCCCCTCCGCTGCCAAATGGTCAATAAAGCCCACACGGCAAAGCCTCCCTTCCTCTTCATGCCCCACCAAAGTGCCACGACATGTCACACCAGCACCGACACCAGGAACTCTGTGAGAAAGCCGACACAGAGACTTCACAGCAAAACCGAACCCCGTAAGAGCGTCTGCGTCTCCGTGGAGGCTGAGTACAAGACGGAACAACAGAGAAACCGGGCAGACGAACGAGGAGGTGAGATGTGGCCTGAGTTCCCCCCGGACAGACGGAGAAGCATGTGCGTTGGAACAACGGGAAAGGAAGGAAAAGGCGTTTCACCACCTGAGAGATCTTCTGCCAGCCAGGCTGGGACTCCTTGAACCTCAGCCTGCGCCCAGGGCGGGAGGAAAGGAGCGGTGTCCCACTGCGGGGGGAACCCTGCCACCTCCCGGCACGGCCCCGCTCCACCGTGGACCTCCCACACGAGCCAGGAGATCGATTCCCCTGGCTGCTCCCTGCTGCCGGTGTCCCCATGCAGGGGAACAGCAGCCCTCCTCCATGTGCAGCACCCCAAAGATGGGAAGATGCTCTGATATCAGGGTGCTGGGGAAGCCGTGGGGCTAGCGGGACTTCTCCGCGTGGAGAGAAGCCCCGGTGTTACCTGGCAGGCTTTGCTGGGACCCGGCACCCGTGGGGGCTTTGCTTGGTTTTACCTGGGGATCCACAGTGAGACGAGGCATGGAGGAGGCCCTCCCAGAGACAGCGTGGTCCTGAGTGTCCACGGGAAGGTAGCTGCCACGGTTAGAGGGCTGCACTCTTTGAAACTCCCTAACCTCTGGCTCCTGGAAATAAACACACAGCCAAGCTCTTGGGATGGGGTTGGAGCAGCGTGCTGCTTCTGTCCCGTTTGCAGGGGACAGCCCCGCTCGCTCAGCCGGGGGCAGGATTTAAGTGGCCAAAAAGGGAGTCTAAGACGTATCATCCGTCACGTCGCTACTGAAAAATAACCTCCGATTCACAATCCATTGCAGGTGAGCCCAGATCTGGTGCTTCAGGCTGGCACGATGGCCAGTTCATCTCGCACCTCTTCAGGGGCAGCGGAAACCTTGCCTGGACCTGGTGATGCCCTGACTGCCCAGCCTTTAACTCCTTCTCCTTTTGCCAGAAGAGGACAAACATACGGGATTTTCTCTCTGACCCTGCTTTAAAGGCTTTCTGGCCACATCCCCGTTAAAAGAAAGCACGGCACCTTTGTGCTTTGGTTAATTCCCAATTTAGGGGATTCATTTTGACCCTGGAGATCTGCTAGAAGGGGACTTTGTGGGGAGGGGGGACTCTCATCTGCCACCTCCCCTCCAGCAGGACGGCGGCGTGGTTGGGGTGGCCGGGGCAGGTGCACAGCTCACACAGAGCACTACCGACCCCGGGGACACGGACCGGGCTGGAGACGCACAGCGGCACAACACTGCACCCGACAAGCGTCGGGGTGGTGCGCGAATGCACACACACAGACATGGAGAGATATATATAGGTATGTATATATATACACACACACACAGACAGACACTGCTGCCGCCGGCAAGGCCGGAGGGGTGTGCTGCCATCGGAGACAGTTCGACAGCTCAGTTTGGGACTGGGGACACCAGCACTGACAACAAAATGAACATGAATCCAAAAACATCAGATACCATCACTCAGCACGGGGTAACCCACTGAAATGAGCGCTCAGTGGGAAAAAGAGCAGCCTGTGAAGAGAAGGATATTTTACTGCAGGACATTGGACCCCTGTCACAGCTCTCACCCCAAAAGCACTTGCCGCTGCTTGGCCCCACTGGCCAGGGCTGGTCCAGGGATGGCTGTGTCCCCAGTGCCCCGACAGAGGCGAGGGGCTGGAGCCCAAGCTGGGGAACACCCGGAGATGTTCGTCCTCTGCTTCAGATCTGTGCGTGACCCAGCAGCTGCCAACCCTCCGCTGTGCTCGCTGCCACAGGGGCAGGGAGCAACCTTTCGCCGCCGTGCCCGCAGCCCCACGCCTCCCCGTGCCCACCAGCATCCTCACTGGGACCGAGGCAGCGCGTGACTTTACCAGAGACTGGTGCTCCTGGAACTGGCCGTGGGCTGGATCCATGCACGCCAGCTGGAAGATCTCCTGCGGCGAGAGCGGGCTCAGCGAGGGGAACCCGCTTCGGCTGCTCCTGCAAAGACAGTCCAGCTCCAGGGAAGCCACAAGCTGGGTGCTGCCATCACTGGCCATCGCCTCTCCAGCAGCTCAGGTCTGGCAAGCCCCCGTGCTTGCCCCCCAGGCTCTCAAGACGCCCAGGACAAACATCATGTTCCTTGGGGAGCTGAAGTGGTGCCAGGCAGGAGAGGACACCCGTGGCCCATGTCCCACGGCAGCAGTGGGGACATCCCAAGCGCAGTGCCAACAACTCCCACCATCTCACTCCCACCAGCCAGGGTGCTGGGATCCCCCACTGACCCTGCACCACGCAGGGACCCACTGCTTGACTGCTCTTGAGGTTCAGGTCCGTCCCAGACCCCTTCAGTAAGAGAGCTTGCACTTAGTGCTGGGATGGTCCTGCAAGAAGAGCATCCATGCAGACACCTGGCCAACCCCCTTGGCCACCACCGCTGCTGTTGGTGATGCTGATGCACACCAGCTACCTGGGAATCCTGCAAAAGCTTTGTGCCGGGAGCTTTTTGCCCCGGACTGGGCTTCCCCTGCTCTCAGCAGCTCTTTAACCCTCTGTGCATCCCGGTGCCAGCTCCAGAGAACAAAACGCAGGCTGCAGGAAGAGAAAAGCTACAGGAATACCTCCCTTCTTCTCAGGGCAATACTCACAGGCCCGAGAGCGTGTCCTGCTGGAGGTAAGGCAGAGCCTTCGCATTTGAGATGATTTCCTGTGGCAAAGAGGACGGCTCCATGCGCTGGAACATGGGCGCATTTTTCTGTATTGAAAAAAGAAAGAAGCTGAGCCTGTATGAAACATAGATGAACGGCCAGTGCTTCACCAAGCAAGCCCCCACCGCTTGGGAAGGCGACAGCACGCTCATATTTGCTGTCGGGGACCAAGGATGCACGTACGCATACTTTGTGGTCACCAAAACCCGACCTGTACCACCATCCTCGTCCCTCAGCTGCATCCCTTTGGCTGGGCTGTGGTAGGAAGCAGCGAGGATGCTCTGAACTCCCCGCTCCTGCCCACCATGCACCCTCCCCGAGCCTCACCTGCTCCTCCAGCTGCTGCCGCTGCTTCTTTGCTTTGCTCTGCTTGTAGTAGTCCATGATCATCATGGCTGCATATATTTTGCCAACAGTCAGGTCAGAGGCTGCGAGCATAAGAGGGGAAGGAAGAGGGGGACCCTTTTGTTTTAACAGAAACAGCAGGTCTGAAGGCACCAGCCGTGGATCTCGGGAAGAGCCCTGCTCTGGGATACCCTGGTAACCCTCAAAGTCTGCTCACCGCTCCAAAAGTGAAATGAACACCCAGGCACTCCACGTGGAGATAAAATGGATGGAGGTGGCTTGAAAGCATCATCATAAACCACCAAGACACACGGCTTCATCACATCATCACATGTAACGGAGCAAGTGATGCTCAGCATCCTGCCCTTATATGCTCCAGAGATGATTTACAGGAGACTCTGCGTTTGGCAGGAGTAGGGCACTGCAAACTGGGCATTTTTCAAGAGGGTTCCCAAGCAGCCAGGCAGGGCAAAGCAGAAGCCAGCCTGTAGCAACACAAACCGTTTTCCCATTTCTCCCCCATCTGGGGACAGGTCTGACTGGTCCCCACCTCCCTTTGGGAAGAAGCTGCTGCCGGGATGATGGAAACTTGACAGCTGTGACAGTCCCCAGAGACTCACTTTTTGGCATGGGTACCAACAGGTCAAGCATCTTCTGGGACAGGTGAGGCCAAATGGTCAGGATCTCCTTTTGAAGCTCGGAGTCTAACTGCTGCCAATCTGCACCACCTTGAATAGTGGGGGGAAAAAATGGCGCATGTGCATCAAGGTGTCTGGCACCAGGGTCCGCCTGAAAACACCCCTTTCCCATCCTGAAGTGAGGTTCACAAGCAGCAGCCAGCTCGCTCTGGGCTGGCAGGGCCATCTTGCATCAGCGAGCCCGGTCTCCTGCTCTCGTAGGGAAACTTTCCTACCACCCCTTCCATATGTGCCGCCATCTCCCCATCCCCTGCCCTCCCACTCAAAGCTGCCATCTTCAAGCTCGCCTTGGGTCCGTCTCTGCCGCTCCAATCCTACTCCAGCCCACACACACCTGCTGCTGCCCCACTTTCTCTTTTCTGGTGAGCGGATCATGTGCTGGTGAAAGAGCAGCTCCACTTGGTTGAAATCCTTAAATACTCGGCGATGCCGTGCAAGGAGGAGAGCAGAGCTCTCGGGCCAGTGGCAGAGGGATTGGCTGAGCTGAGGAAGACCCAGGCTCAAAGGGAGCCGTCAACAGAGGCCAACCAGAGACACCCCGGCCTGAGGTAACTCTGCTGGGCTGTAGGAGACCTAGGTTCAAATCTCTAATTTATCTACGGGGGCTTGAACCCAAGCAGCTGTCTGAGCACTGGGCGTTTGCTGCTATCTTGCCCTGCGTTGAGTTTTCTTCCAACAACTGAGCTGTTCCCGGGGGACATTTGATTGAAAACGGCGTGTTTCTGCAGAAAGCTTCTGCTCTGATGAATCAGAGCATTTCCAGCAACAACAACAAAGCAGGTTTTCCTGCTCTGAACATTTTCTCTTCCCTGAAAGAATTCCGTTCCCCACAGCCCTAGGAAGCCAAGCACACATGATCTTTTCCCTCCTTTGTTTGGTTTGTACATGGGGAGGAAAGGGAATTCTCTCTCCTCTGTTACCCAGGGGACATCAAGCTGTTTCCGCTCTCTAGAAGCAGCTTCCAGTGGAAAACTGGCCACCTCTTCCATAAAGAAAGAGATTTGATTTTTTTTTTTTACAGAAAGCAGCAGAAATTTGCCTGTTCAAGGTGATCAGTTCCACCCACGTACTGGGCTCTGGGCGACCAACCCCAATTTGGCTGTGATGTCCTCAGCCTTCCCAAAGGACGAGCGCTGGTCACTCTGAAACCCTCCTGGCTCTCTCCCCTCTCTACCTCATCGACCGTACCTTTGGCAATTTTGATATCCAAGGCCGTGCGTATCAGTGCCATCAAGGTGGAGGTAAAATGGACCGTCATGTCCTCGGCCACAGGCATGTTCATCAGCACCAGTCTCTGCGCAAGAGAGAGAAGAAAACAGCGGACGGAAAACAATATCGAAAAACACATCGACCAGGCTGGAGGAAAAGAAATTAAACATTAAACAAAAGGGAAAAAAAAAATTAAAATTAAAAAATAAAAAGCAACAAAGAGTGTCAGAACAGCACAGCCAAAAAAGAAGGGCAAGGATCACCCCACCCCACCCCCGGCTCCTTCCACCCCAGGACACCGGCTCACTGCCTTCCAGGGCTCCTCCTGCACGCCAGGAACGGCCCCTGAGCCCCCCTCCCCATGGCACTGGGGATGCCACGGCACCTCCCGGCACTTTTGGGAAGACATGCCTGATCCGTCAGGGATGCTGGCGTCGGGAATGCTTGGGAAGGGGAGAGGGGGCTCAGGTTTCCGTTCCTGGGGTGGTTTGGCTTTCGGATCTCAACCCTTCCCACCTGGGGCAGGGGAGAGGAGGGTCCCTAACCTTCAGGGACTTCAGATCGGCTGGATTCCTCTAGCATGCTACATCCTGGCGCTCCCTTTTTGCGTCTTTCAGAGATGAAGTTTGCCAGCACATGCACAGGGTCCAAATTATCCAAGGGTGGGGAAGGGAAGGAGGGGTAGAAAAAGTGCAGAAGGAAGGTGAGAAGGGCAACCAAGGCAGGTTAGACACGCCATGCTCCTTCCCCACCCTGGGCAGGCGGGGTGCAAACCGAAGTGACCAGATCCACTTCCAGAGAGTATATTTTGCTTTGTGAATACCTTGGGTCATCCCTTCCCTGCCCATTCCTTTTCTCCCGGCTTCTCACGTCCTTTCCCTGCCTTCAAGCCTCCCTTTTTCTCCTGGAGAAGCGCGACGGTGGATGTATGCATGTGTGAACAAACACATGAGAGCTGGGGAGGGTGGCAGCACGTCTGCAAGTGTGCAGAAATCCCCGCTTCGCTAGCCCCGAGCGATGCTGAAAGAGCTGCCGGCAGCAGCCCGCTGCCACGGAAAGCTCCCGTTTGCTCCAGACCTGGACAACACATTGCTCTGTAGCTCTGGGTCTCGTCCTAGCAGCTGCTTCCCTCAGCAAAGCCACACAGCTCCCACTCCATGTCCTTTGGGGCTTCCCATGCTGCCGCTCCACGCCTGCGCAGCTGGGAGCACGCTGGGGGTAAAATTCAGAGCCACTGCTTGAAGGCACCTGGCTTTGCCTTGCACAAGCCATCCTTGGGATAGCTTATGCCGGTGCACCAGGCTCCCAGCACACTGCAGAGCTGCTCCTTCAGGGTACGTCCTTGCTGCCCACCTGCGTCCCATCCCCGTGGGCTTTAGCCCCGTTTCTGCGCTGGCTGGGGCAAAGATTGTTCCAAGCCCAGGGGATGAGCTTGGACCAGTGAGCTCCTGGGGACATCCCACCCTCGCAGCTGTGCTACGGGGTTGCTCCTCACCTCATCTTCTCCAACCCTCCCACTTCCACGCTATTGCCGATCCTGCCCCTCCTCTTCCACTGAGGTCTTCTACCCCAGAGCTCCTCAGGCTTGCGAGTGACCACGGCAGCATCACGTGCGTGGATGGTGGAGACCAGCCAGCATGGCCAGGACTCTTCTGAGCACACGGGGCTCGCCAGGAGCAAGCTAAACACATGTTGGATGCCCCCAACGCCTCCCCATCTTCCCCAGCCCCACCTCCCCGCCGCTCCCTCGAACCCCGGCTCCTGCTCGGCTCTAGCCCCCATAGAAGGAAGGGTTGATCTACCTTATAGGCCACTTTGGAAGGACATCTCTTGCCGAGGCCTAGCGGTGGTGACATAAGAGTCAGCATTTCATACATCTCAGTGTAATGGATTCGGCCACTGCTCATGAAGGGGGAAGGGGAGGGAGGGAGATGCAGAGAGAGAGGAGGCATTCCCAGAGAGCAGAAAAACGTACAAACAAAAATAGTACAGGAAAACAGGAGAGAAAAAACAAACGGACAAACAGGAAAAGAACAGGAAACCCGTTAATCAAGGCAAATCGTACATGAGAGACTGTCCTGATGGGGATTTATAGCACTGCTCACACAAAAAAAAACCTCACCCCTCTCCTCTGCTGCTGGCCTCAAGCGCCTGCCTCGCTAGCAGTCTGGGAGTCCTTCTCTGGTCTCAACCCCTTTCCTAAAGCCCTCCAGCAGCCCCCAACTTGTCCCACAGGTTCCAGGGCTGTGTGCGAGTGGTATAAATCAGATACACGGCACTCAAGCCATGGGTTATTTGAGATAACGGTGGTTTGCACCACAGTGCTCTGTGGCCTCCGTAGCGTCTTCCCTCCCGGCGTGGGGGGCCTGGGTGTTGCTTGGCATGGCCACCTAACCCATAGCCGGAAGGCTGTGTATCCCCAGCTCATAAGGTCTATGCAATTGGGAGGCAGCATCTTGCATAGAAGGCAGTGGGCCAGGGTCACTTGTCAAAGGAAGATGCCCAGTTGCTTCCGTCTGGCTCTGCGGATGGACCGCTTTCCCACCATGCACCAGTGCAAAAGGCATGCTGAATTGGCTGAAAAAACAAAACCGGGAGGAAAAGTTGTACATGCCATGCTCCCGCCCTGGCTCTCTCCCGCATGCGGCTGCAAGTTCCACCAGGTTGGAGTTTAAAGAGTCTCAGCAGAGGCAGCTGTTTGGGCCTTCCAACATCGGGGTTCGTTTGGGTTTCCCAAGGGAGGCAGCTAGGACGGACCCCCACCTCGCGCTCCTCTGCTCTGTAAGGACCTGCTTAGGGCTGCTGCAGCAAGGAACGCCACCAAAAACGGGCCACCTGATGATGCCTCGAGCCCTCTGCCAGGCTGAGATATTTGGGCTATTCCTCCCTCTCTCTGCACATCCAGGAGGCCACTCAAATACATCTCCCAGGGATCCTGGGCTCGGCCACCTCTTCTTCCCCTTGTGCCAGGCCTCTGACCTGCACTGCCACGTTCAGGATGGTTAATGGGCAAGGGCAAACTCATGACAGCGAAGGCATTGACCCTTACAGCTGAGCTGGGAGGACGCTGCTGGAGAGGAACCCATCTCAGCTGGGGTGGCCTGGGAGAGAGGGCACTGCCAAAAAATTGAGCACTCCCTGTGGGATCTTGGCCAATTCCCTACCCATGTGCTGAGAGCACTGTGAAAAGGGGAGAAGAAGAAATCTCCTCTTCTCACGGGGTACCAGCTGGTTTGGAAGCAGCTCTCTGGCCAAAGAGGCTCCCACCAAGATTAGTCCTGTTATTTTGGATGTGAACTAGGGATGGTGATGACCCACAATATTTGGGGTTGTTTGGGGTGCAGGCACAGAACAGGCTGGGTGAGCCATCCTGTTTGAGACCTGACACACCTAAATGAGTTGGAAAGAGGACTGATAACAACATTGGAGACTATTAAGTGGGATGATCAAGAGGAAATATCCAGGTTCAGGAGCCTGTAAAGCAGCACCTTGGCAGAGGTGGATGGGCACTGACTTGAGGTGTCTGAAGGGGAGAAGGTGACGTCAAAATTTTCATGCTCAAGAACTTTGTGCAAAAAGGAAACAAGACAGCGAGTGATCTTCCACTCACCCTCCCTGGCAGGGGGGATTTTGGTGTACCCAGCACACGTCAGACACTGTCTTTCATGCTGAAATTCTCTGGCCAGTGAAGGAGGAATGCACTCCCACGAAAGGAAGAGTTTGCATCGGTGACCAAGAAGGACCACACTGTCTGTCCTCACAGACAGGCTGCATACTTTGCTGCTTCTCAGAGCAGAGATCTTAAAGCGTTTTGAGCAGCACAGCAGTGCTCAGAAACCACATCCCCATGGAGTGAAGCACAGGAAGGCACATGGAGTGACATCCATCGAACAGGATGGCTCCCAAGAGCTGGTCCCAGCATGGGACCATCCTTGATGGGAGAGCTGGCCATCTGTCCTGTGTCTGGATGGAGATGTGCCCTGTGGCTATGGCACAGGGTGTCCCGGAAAACTGCCAGGTGCTAATGGCTTGGTCCTGGTGCTCTGAGAGAACCCTGTGAGTGTTGGAGGGGGAAATCTGGGGGACATCTGTCCTCCTGTGGTTAGGAAAGAAGTACTGTGCTGCACCAGGCTGTTAGGGACAGAGCACCAGAATAGCAAGTGGTGTAAGAGGAGATTCAGAAATAGATGTCCATAGGAACATGAATGTCTGTGGAGCATCTGCCTGACCCATGACCTCAAGGGCTACTTTTAGGGTGCAAAAGTGACGCTTTGGCTCACTTTTGCATGACTGCTAGAAGCAGCGGATGTGAAGAAAGGTAGAGATAGCCCCAAGGAGTAGAGCTGGCTGCCATGATACAGTCCCAGCAAGATTTGGTTACAAGACCTGCTCTCCCCAGCATAAGGGCAGAGCTTGCTGGACTTCCATGGGAAGCATACCTAGCGGGTATGCTTCCACATCATGCTACACCACTATGCTGCATCCTGAACTTGCCCAAGAGCCATCTCTTCCAGAGCAGGCTGTCCACAGTTCCATAAACAAGTTGGTGGTTGTTTCTGCAAGTCATTGTCGCATTACCTGTCAGGATAGGGGTGTGAGCTCCAGGAAGGTGAACCTGTGCACTGTGATGTGCAGGGCAGGCTCAGCAAACGGAAAGGTGAGTTGGGTTGGCATTTTGGGATCTGGACCATGGTGGCAAGATGTAATGACCACATTTTCTTTCTTCATCAGTTGCCTTTTGGGAGTTGTTCCAGAGCAGTAGGAAACCCTGAAAATCTCGTATGTCCTTCAAATACCCTATGCACAGGAAGGAGGCGACCGAGGTAACACAAGGAACAGATGGGGATGGTCTCCCTTACATGACAGCAGAAACTGGTCTTACTCTCTCTGCTTCCACCTGCCCTTGAGTTTATCCACCTTTGCTGCTCTGTCCATCCCACAGAGTCAGCAGAAAGCCCAGATGGCTGCAGAGCTCCCTCTTCCCGGGAAGCATTACAGGTACCCTTCTGAGCACCAGGTGATCCAGCTTAGGAGAGCAGTGGTTGCCAGTGAAGCCCTGATGCCAAATGAGAAAGACTAGGAATTCCTCCTGAAGGTGTCTTCTGTCTGCAGACACCTGAGCAAGTGCCCTTGGCAAAGCCGCCACCCTTTGCCAGGAATGCAACAGAGGAGAGTGGAAAGGCTGCATGGAGCCCCTCCTTGAACAGATGAGCCATCTGAGATTCTTGAAAGAAACCTCCTAACCCTAACACTTCTTCATAAATGAGATGACCAAGAGTCCAGGTCTTGTCTCACTTGCTCTGCTTTACTTCTGGTGGTCTACTTCAAGATTTCCAATGTGTGCACCATCCCCGTGACCAGCTATGGGGTATGACAGACCCGCTCCAGGGATGCTGGCTGGAAGAAGCATTTCTGATTTGGCAGGGAGGATGAGATGGCTACAACAAGCCACACCGAGGAACCCTCTTTCCCCTGCAGAGCCATGATCACAGGCTGCGGGCATCTGGGCTTCCCTCATGCATCTCCTCAGACGCTGCGAGGGATGCAGAGGGAAGAGCGAGCTCTGTGGTTCATCCTTTCGTGCCATGAAGACAGGCATGGTTGTGGTGGCACTTCGGAGATGATGTCAGGTGCAGGATTTTGCGCAACTGTCATCCCAAAATAAAATATTTTTAAGAAACATGCAAGTCAGAGAGACACAAGGAAGCCAAACCGCTGCCATGGACTCATGGCCAGCAGCTGGGAGCTCGGCTTAAGCAGAGGGAGAGGAGCTGCTGAGCTCCAGAGATGTGCCCAGGTGCCACCTCCTCTTAGCAGGCCCGGCAAGCCAAGGGCAAGACTGGCAAGAGTCCTGCTCCCCAGAGAGGTGGCCATGTGTCCTCCAAGCACCGCGCTTGCAGGAGGGTCTGTTGGCGTCCCCCAAAGTCAGGGGTCACCTGGCCTCCCCATCCTCCCCCCAGTCCTCACTGTCCAAAACAACGGCCAAGGCCCCAGCCTCCTCCTG